CTTAGGTTTTGCTCCCTTTGAATTGACTGTGTTTGCTGATACTAAAACTCAGCCTGGTTATTTATTCACTGAATACATGCATCTAAATAATTTCCGTTCAGAATTAAAGTATGATAAAATGAGAAAGATGCAGTGCTGTTGTTAAATGGAAAGGTGGACTAGTATGCCTTGAATCTAATGAAAATACTTAATGGTACCTTGTTTTACTGACCTACATGATGCACTTCATTCTTTAGCTTTTTTTAGCCACCGTTGAATCTTTAAATCTTGTATGTATGCTATACTGTATGCAGGTATGTGAAAATTGAATAAAAATCTGAGTACCTCATTGTAAAAGTTTTCAACTGGTGATGTTTAAAGTGGATAATAGAAGACCCTTATTGTTTCTAAAAGTACCTAAAGGCTGGTTCAGTTTCCAGCAAATGGACAAATGAGCTCACTTCTGTGATATGCTAATCCGTCACTTCCATTGAAGCTGATGGAAATTGTAGGTTCTCAGGACGTTTTAGGGTTGTTTTAAGTCAATGGTGGAGAGTACAAGGGTGTTCTTTCATTCCAGTATGTTGTCTACAAAAGAAAACTAACCAGTTAACAGCGTTTGTTTCAATGTCTGTAAAACTAAGAATTATATTTTAAGAGCTTACTGACAGATATTTTGCTACTTTCGCATATTTTAAAAATCTGTGAAGCAGGAAAAAGAAGTAGACAAATATCCTGTACGTGCCAGGTTAACCAGAACTAGTGTGTGACTGTCTTTGAAGTAGTGTGGCCTGGTGGCTGTAAAGGGGTTATTTAAGGATATCCAGTTTAACTGTCCACTTAACATTCAAGAAAGGTATATGATATAATTCGCATATAACTTTGAAGCAAATCCATTTGAGATCTGGGTCAAAAAGGTTAGAAAGTTGAAAATGGGAACTCTGGATAGGGAGATGTTAGTATAAGACCCATACACTTCCTGTAGATGCATAGGACTTTTATGTTGTGATAGGCTCATTTAAAGTGTGAAAATGATCCATAAATCCATATTGACATAAACAAGTATTTATAAATTTAAATATGCACAGATTTCATTTTCTTAATTTTCTTAAAATCGTGTCTGAACCTCTTCCTGAGAGCTGGGCCAAATACCTGTACATTCCTAACATAAATAGCAAGTCAAAGCTTCTCGAATTAAAACAAGTAAAATTCAGATAGCTGATACTTAGCATATATACTTTATCTGCTAATATGGAAGCAGTTCTGTTGTTACTGATCTAGTGCCAAAAGAAAAAAAAAAAAAAAAAAGGGAAATTTCTTGCAGAGATTAAAAGAGTTGGCATCCTAACTGAATGTAGGTAGGCAGGCTGGCTGGCTGATCTTGTTCTTTGCTTACACTGCGTGGTCATAAGGGGCAAAAATCCCTTTAGTTACAGTGATACTCAGTACTACTGTGTCACGATGTTTACACTTCTGAACTAAAAAATGTAATCTATAGCCCTATCTTAAGTACCTAAATTCCATGTTCAATTTATTGGAAGATTACTAAGAGAGGAATTAACAAAAAAAGACTTTGTGCTGGGTAAAGAGGACGTTTAAGCTAACCAGAAGTACAACAGAGTGAACAATGTGTCTTAAACTGTTTCCCTCTTTGGCATGTATGGCAAATGAAAATTCACGGCTTAGTTATTCTGGAGTATGTTGCCAGAAGTACTGTAAATGCAAGAAAATTTCGTGTTGTGGACTTGACCTTGTTATCCCATATGAAAGTAATGTAGGATGTACACAGGCCCATATTTATTCTTGTTTGATCCCTGTTTCTCCTGTTCTGGAGGTGGTCCTGGGAGCTAATGCAGTTCTTGTGCCACTGAGGTAATAAACTTAGCCCCATGTTGGGTCACGTCATCTATTTCAGGGAAGCCGTGCATATGTGCTGGCACAGAGAATGGACATGCAGAAAGGTTATCTAGTATTGATGAAAACAAACAAACCAGTCTTTATACCATGTCTCTCGATTTTAAGTTTTCAGCCCAGTGATGCACCTTAGCTAGTGAATTCTAGGTCATAGCTTTTGGATTATACAAAGCTGTTGTATGGAGTAGGTACTTACTGGCTTTAGTGAGTACTAGAGCTCTGCATTGTGATTTTAGAGTATGGAGCAGTCCTGAACAGAGTCCTCCTTTTCAGAATAAAAGCTGATTCATCATCAAATGACTCCTTGTTATGCTGTTGCTGCGTACATGGTTAAAATTTCTCTCCCTCGTGTGATCTGGAGTGAAGTGAGCCATAATTCTTATGCTTTGTATTGAAATCCATGTTTTCAGTGTCAGGTACAGTTTGAGTGGCCTTATGACGTGAGATACCTCATGATGTTTAATATGTGATTTCTTAATGAAACTGATGGAAAGCAGGTGCTAAGATAAGATCTCCGCTTGTCAGGTTGGCTTCAGTTCTGCGGTAACGCAAAACTCTAGTGGTTTAAAAATGTCATTTGTTAAAATCTAGGTGCCAGTCCTGAAACTTTTAATTACTTGAGAAGTTAAATTGGGGTTTTAAAAAATATGATGTTTGGATTTATTAGGAATTAGGTCTTCGTGTATCTTTTAGAAGAGCTAGGCCTAAGCTAAGCAGGAGATGTGGTTTGTTGTTGTCAAAGATACAGCAAGAGACATTAATGGATTTTTATTGTGTAGTAAACCAGATGTCAAGAAAACAATGTGTTTGAGAGCTCTTTTAAGAATATCATTTTGAGTATTTCATTTTTATTTAGAATTGCAGTTGGTTTTTTTGTTCCTCAGAGTGCGTGTTTCAGTTACAAGATTTGGTTACGCAAGTCACATTGTATTCTATTGGCCTATTTTATACTCAAAATGTAACACGACATGATTGTTAAAAACTGTAATAAAATATTGGATCAGCCTAAGAAATCCTACTTTGCTAACTGGTTTTCTCGAATAGTAACTATTTCAAAAAAACCCAACACAATAGGCATTTTTAAATAGACTTAACTAATTACAGAAAAGCTGTGGCTAGCATGCTGTTCTGTTTCTTTTCCCATGACCTTCTAATTTTATAACTTTTTTTGTATGTGACCAATTAAAATATGACGGCAGAACAAAATAACATTAGCCAAATGCCCAGCGGCTGGGATGTAGAAGAGGTAATAATCCATGTCCTAGAATCATAGAAAATAGAGGGGGGACAAGTTGTAGATAATTTAGTCTCTCTACTTCTGCTTATTCTCTCCCTGATACTACATCTGCTAAATTTTACTTCTCTTTTAGTATGTTGATGTATTACTAAAATCATAATGATATTTAGTTTTGTCAGTTTCTTTTCTATGACAGAAGTCAGACTGATACCCTGTGGGTTAGGGAGATGGCTTAGGTGTACACTGTTTTTCTGTGATTTCACTGTTCTCACTGATCTTCCTGTACTGTGTTTTGCCTTTGGATAACAAGAGATATCATTTTGCTCCATAGAGTGTTTTATGTAGGTATGTCTTCCCCTTTATTAGAAATAAAAGGAGCTTTTAAGATTTTGAGAAAGTGATTCAAATAGTCTTCAGTCCTATGAACCTGTTGAATCTCTCCTCTTTAGGCATGAGAAATTGATTCCTGTCTGTCTGCGTTATGTTTTTTAAAAAAAAAAAAAAAAAAAAGGAGCTAAGATTTTAGAACTTAGAAAATGCTTAGCTGCGTTCCTCTTGGTTTTATTGTTCAATAATGTGAAAGGGGGAGGGAAGACAACTGCAGCTCTTTGTCTTCCAAGAGGAAAAAAGTGTCTTAGAACTCACTTTTAACGTCTCATTTTGCCATTCACTGCTTATTTGAGGTCAGAAACGGTGCAAGAAGTGACTTGACTGTTATATACAAGGGCAGGATTTCCCAGCAGAAGTAAAACGATATCAACACTTACGTCGCTCTTATTTTATGTGATAAAATATGTAATTTTTTCTGCAGCAAAACTTTCTGGATCTCTGAAGATCTTCTGTGGCTGCAGTGAAAATGTCAGAATTTACCATTGGGAGTGGTTGCTAGGTATACTGATCTAAGATGCTGGATAATTCTAAATATTTGGAACAGCATCAATTATTCTTTATTATTAAAGACAGATTATAAAGTAATACAGTATAAGCATGCCATTCTCAGTGGTTAGCATTGTTTGGGGAATATGCTTTTCTCCCTGTGACTTGATAAGCGATGTTTTACCATTCCTTCCTTTTCTTCTTGGATTAGGTTACAGAGTACTCTTGTTCCGGTTGCCTTTAGCTTCATTTCAAGTTCATGTGACCATATTATAAGTGACTGACAAAGTTTGGATGGTTTTTTCGTATCAAAATGACCAAAAACGAGCTTGGAGAGCTCTGTTTCAGAAATGCCATAGAACTGTGAATGATGTTTTCTGTGATCTTTAATACTGTGTATTTATGGAAAGCTCAAAGGAATATATTTAATTGGTTTTACACCTAAGCAAAACCAAAATTGAAGTATCAACCTTTTAATGTCTGTGCTGGAGCACAATGCTGCTGAATACTTTCTGATGTATGCTGTGTTCCTGGTGACTTCACTGGTAATTGGAAATGCTCAGTATTTTGAAGGGTGAATTCAGCATGGAGGAAAACTCAACGCTCTGCAACTTTTCTTGTTGCTTATTTCAGAGTAGTTTGGCCAAATTGCAATCAGTGAAAACAACGGGAGTTGTGGATTGTCAAGACTGCTCAGGTGTGTCTCTTTGCTATTCTATATCTGAATAGGTCTAGATCTGCCCTCACAGAAACCACCTAATATGTATGTAGAAGAAAGAAAAACAGACCTCTTAGATCTGTACATGTATTTACAATAGATGTGTATGAAGAACTTGAGGCTCTTTTTTGCCCCTCTTTATGTACTTATACAATCTTCGAAAAGGTAAACAAGTAGAAGACCTATTTTAGAACTGATTTTTGTGACTATGGCTATCTGATATACATTAATGTTAATAAACACTTAAGGCTTTTTTTTTTGTGTTTTGTTCTACAGGCAGCAGGAGCAATTCGTCCTCTAGTTTCTACTGTTATCGCTTCTTCTGCAGATGGCTGTTTAGACCACTCATTAGAACGTGCCCGGTATAGAGCAAGTGAAATGCCTCAGGCTTTCTTGTTTGGTATAATCTATCAAGCATACCAACAGGTAAGCCTTTGAGTTTCTGATAAGATTTTTTTCATCCATTTACTCTTAGTAAAAAAGAGAACTTTAGTTCTCTGCTCTCAAAAATAGAGATTCAACATCCATTTCAGATCATATAAAATTGTATGTGTGTTGTTTCTCTGTAGTCTTTTGATGACAGTGCTTTATCGTTCTCATCTATTCAAATTTTTCCATTATCAAACTGCCAAATATAAATGTGATAATTTGGGGCTTTTAGGTGATGAACAGAAGTATTATTCTTGCCTAATGGAACATGCTGAAATGTGTATTTTGTATGCTGAGTCATATTTCCTGCTGGTTCTATTGTAGCAAATTAATTTACACCACCAGAGGCTCTGGCCTTCCAAACATACTGTACTTTATAAATGCATTACACTTCTCACAGCTTTAATTTGCTGCTCTCTTCTCTAAAACTTCTCTAAAATGCTGTGAAGTTAATTAAGGTTTTTAAAGTACCTTTAAAGATATTTGTAATACCTTTATATTACTTTTTCTTGCTTTCTTTGCTTGCATTCATTGTAATTTCTGCCCCTTACATCTTTTTTTCCTGTGACACACTTAATTTCTTCTTTTTGCTTCATATGGAGATGAGTCAAGCAGAAATTCTGCTTCGTTGTGAGGCATCTGAACCATTGGAAAGACTAATGTACTTTGATTTTTATTGCATGTTCAATAGAATACTTAAATAAGTGGCCTAACGCACTTAAAGTTAGGTATATATTAGGTATGCACTGTCGACTTAGAATATCTCAAGTAAAGAGTTTTGGATGAGGGTTATGATAATGCCATATGATATTATGGTGGGACACAGGCTATTCTAAAATATTGGGATGTTATTAACTTGACACATCCAAGTAAGTAAATTTAATGTTTCATATTATATGTGTTACAGCAAATGATTGTATTGCACATACTTTGATTAATGGCTGAATATATTTACATAGTCTCTCTGTTAATTCCTCATTTTTTCTAAGATAGTGCTTTAACATCATCTTTATGAAAAAAAAAAAAAAAAAGGGAGGGGGAGTAGTCTAGTAATCTGTGACTGTTTTGCCTTTATTCCTGTTGATGACTGCTTTCATTTGCCCCACCCTGCATTCACAGTTTACTGGAAGCACGCCAGGCTTTCTGTCTCAGCCTTCTACTTCCTTTTCATTCATCACCTTGTAGAAATTGTCTGTCCTCCAGGTATCTTCCAGGTTGACTTAAGGCCTTTTTGAAGGCTTGAAAGTTACCAACAACAGAACAAATGTGTGGACTGCCACTGAAAAAGAAATAATTACTTGTTCAGTAATTGTTTTGCTCTGAACTGTTGGCACAAATTCCATGTCATACCCTTCATGCTTTTTATCTGAACTTATTCTTAGACGGTGAAGATGAGGGGCTGTCCACAATGAAGAGCTACTCAAGTGATCGGAGTAACTCCAGCTTTTTTGCTTTTGATGGGAAGCAGGAGAATGTTGTTGGTACAATGCTATCACAGCAAATACTTCTAACTGAAAGTCACTGACTTGGATATAGTGGGCATATGTGTTGCCAATGGCACCATGTATGTGCGTGGAATACATCTCAAGAGGCAACAGCTACTGTTGTTTATACAGCCTTTTCTTTCTTGTTGATGTGCATCTGTTTTGAAAAATTACGTGTTTATATGTTATTTCTGAGGGGGGGAAAAAGTATATTATTTTTTTCCTACTGTATTTACTGTTAGTTTGCAGATACAATAGAGCTGGCAAATATATAAAAAGCTTTCTTCCTCAATGACTTGCTCAAAAGGCAACTATATTTGCACTCGTTATGCTCCTCTGAATGCTGAGTGCACTCTTCTCACATATGCATTCCATCAGTCTCTTCTTTGTATCCCTGCTCTTTCAACAGCAAGCCACCAAAGTTGTTAGCAACCAACCATAGCTATGGTTCCTTGTCCCCAGTTCCCTTTGCGTTGGATAAATTCTGGTCATTTGAATGCTCTGTGCCTTAGAGCTCTGGGAAGGGTAACACTTCACTAAACCTCTGAACTCATATTGTTTGCTAATTATTTATGTTTCAATAGTGCCTAGCTGTCCAAGTCAAGGATTAAGACCCTATTGTTCAGGGAACTGTACAAACAAGTAACAAAAGATAGATAATTGTTGTCCTGAAGAACTTAGTCAAGCTACTGTGGAGGACAGATTTTTGTAGGAATGAATGCAGCTCAGGATGCTTCGTAAATATTAATATAACCACCATTAGTTCCCACAACAACCTCGTGAAGTAGGTAAGTATCATTCAGCCAGGTTGTTTGGATGCTTTTCTTTGTGTGGCCTCTGATTTTTGTGTGCTGGATCGCAGTTTAGATTTCACTCTAGTCTCTTCTGGTGCCTGTAACATATATGTTCCTAACAGATTGTCTGTGTTCAGATCTGTGTTGCTTTGTGATTTAACTCTGACCATGTCAAGGTTCCTTACATCATAACTATTAACTTCACAATTTATGGTAGTACTGTTGTAACCTTATAGATATTGTCACTCAAAAATTGCACACAATTCCGTTGTCTTTTTAATGACTCAGAGGGCCCATTAAAACATTTTCTTTCATTCTTCATTGGCTTGAATATATGATATTTAAGCCCCATTTCACAGGCCTTTTCAAAGGGTAAAAAGCCAATATTTTTATTTTTAATGTAATTTTTCTGGCTTTAGAGTTTTTTTTATTACAACCACTTCCTCAAAAAATATTTTCGACTGAAAGTTGCATCAAATGGTAATAGAGTCTGGTTGGTTACTCAGAGACAGGGTTGAGTACTCCATCCCTTACCTCTGAAGTACGCTTTGGCATAATTTCTGTGGTGTTCTAATTTTAATTCATCTTAGGTGGCAGAGGGGGAATTAGGCAGTTGCACGAAAAGATACTTATTACATTATATTATTTTCAAAAGGGTTGCTGGTTATCTCTAGTTACATCTCCTTTTGCTAGCTATGGCAACCTGAAATCTTCTACTCTTTGGGGCAGTTCTCCACTTGCGATTCCATAATGTTTCTTGATTATGACAGGGAAGTTATTTCTTCTTTCTACTCTGCTGATGTAAGGTAGCCAAGGACTTCTACCTGTAAAGTAGTTTTTGATTAAGACAGATCCCTGGAGAAGTAAATATATCTGAAATGAAATGAGCAAGCCATCAAAAACACTTGGCCAGTTGGTGAGCTACTGAGTATTACTAGGTCTTGCAATAGTTAATTTTGAAATTTTTTTTGCCACACTGAAGCAGTAGAAAAGATTCATGAAAATATTTCCTTAAAAATAAACTCATACTTTTCATTTAATTAGAATTAAGTGCCAATTATCTGATATAACTTTTGTAATATGCCTGTGTATATGCTTGAGAGGGGAAAAAAAAAAAAAAAGACATCCAGGTGTCTCACATCTTTATTGGGGGAATGCATACAATTTGAGAACCACTGTTGCTTCTTGGTGGAAGAAAAATTGGTAGTGCTTTGTCTGCTTTTTTGTGATGCAACACATAACAAGGAGAGATGTAACAAGGAGGGGAAGTCTTGTCAGGTCTCAAATGCTAGCGACTCCAATGGAGTGAGGACAAAGACCACTATTCAGAAAAAAACCTACTCCCACTCCAGAGTAGTTATATTGATTTTAACGTTTTTATAAAATTCCTATTACATTGTTATATATACATTTTACTCTTAGCTACGGAGACCTTTTGGCCTACATAATTGACATCACTGAACTGTCAGCTAAATTAATGTTAAAGTGGTTGTGCGCATAAGCCAGACTAAAAACATTCAAAGTCAATATTGAAATTAAGCGACTGTTCAGAAATCACAATAGACAGTGAAGCTAAAATGGTGTCTTGATCTTAAAAGGCCTCATTACTCTGACTTATGTGTCATTAGATAGCGCACTTAGCTATAAGAAATGAATAGGTGTAATGGGATTTTGGCAGACACAGGCAGTTACCCCTGTATTTAAAGTTGCTTAATGCTTTCTATTACAAGACTTTTTGTTCTGTTGGCTTGGGAAAAATAGCCATATGTACTTATATTTCAGTGAAGTATTATAACGCCTCTGCTGTAACAGGATTTTGGAATTCAGTGCTGGGATGGTCTTGACATCAGAAGTGGGTGAATTACCTAGGCCTTGTTATATGTGCTTCTGAGTGTCACTATGTTGCATATGATATATATGCCTTCTCACCTCATATCCTTATGAAGTGCAGCACTACTTACATGCCCTTCATTTTGTTAAATATAGTCTTTATTTGGTATGATTATGTGCTTGACATACAGTGGGCAAGTGGCAGGTGCAAAGAGTTGCAAGAGGAGAAAGAATTTTATATAATGTGTGGTATCTCATAGGCACGAGAGTTAGGCCTTGCCTTAACCAGGGGCCTTTCCTAGGGATGTTGGGTGAAAGGTCATATAAATGCATTAAGGGGATAAACTTAATGTCACGTCAGTGATCTTAATTCTAGTATGTCCTTATTTGTGAGTGCTTGTTTCCTGAGCAATGTAAAGAATGTACCACTAAATGTCAATAAATACTTAAGCTGGAAAAGTTAAACGTCTTAAAAATCGAAAGTGTAACTGTAAGAAGTAAAACCTATGGAAAGGCTTTAAAATTGCAGAAGCCAAGATTGACTTCTGTTCTGACTTACCTGGGACAAAAACAACTAGTTATGTCTTTTTTTAGGTTAATATAAATTAATTTCCTGATTTTTGGAAACACATATTTTTTCTGCTTATATCATCCCTTAGGGAAATCAGAAAGCTCTAAGTGTTAAATGAAAATCCGCCCTTTCCAAAGATAGCAAATAAAGGATGCATTTTTTTGGACCAGACTTGTTCATTTTTGCTTAAGGTTATTTCATATTGCTGTTCAGCTTTTTAAATTAAATAGGAGGCTTTGCAAAATATGATCACATAAACCTGAGAGAGGGGAAAAAAAGGCTTCACTTACCAGAAGTCAAGGGTTCCCTGGAGCCGTA